AAGTGTTCAGTTTGGTCAACGACAATGTCTTTCATATTGCTGCCACAGTGTTGGGACTAGCCTTCACGCAGATTGGAGGCATCGCACTGGCTTGTCTGCTTGCCAACAAACTGGCACCAAGGCAACACGGTCGTGTGGTGGCACATTAATGGTCAACTTCAGAACCCAGAGTTGGGAGAGTTGTTTTGAATTTCTGCATGACTGTTGTACGATGTTTTGATTTGACTTTTCCAGGATATAATTAATGTGATTTAATGTTTAGTTCGTTAAGTTGATGCTGTTTCTGCCAGCACACCAACAGAAGCTCTGTCTCTGTAGATTCGCTTTGAGAAAACCTCACTGCTAGCTAAATTGTTCTTAGCTGGCAGAAAATGTACCAAGAACAAGGGAGGCTAAAAGAGTCACGCCAAAATTGTAGACCATATCATACAAATATATAATAATAAAGATAAATATAATATAATAGAAATGAACAGAGCTACTTTTTAAAAAGTACGGAAGAAATGTTTTTGAAATTTTGAAATGAAACTTTAGAAACACTGCGTCTCAAGGGTCTCTAGGTCCACCACTTGACTCGTCTGGACCAGTTGTTCTTTTTACCCATTCTTCCTCTTCTTGTCATCATTGTACAGCCCAGGGAGTTTTGGTGTCTAACTGGAATCTACAAAAATTCCAAAATCTCAGGGCTTTACAGAGAGACGGAGAATAGTCTTGGACTATTAGTCTTAGACAATTCCAAAAGGTCTAGGCGTAGTCTACTGTAGGTCTTGATGTTATTCGGACTCAATCGATGTTCCCAAACTTCTTGATGTCAAGTGTGTTTGGTCCTGTTGGTATTGGTGTGGTCTTGAGTTCCTACGAACAGAATCGGGTCTGTACAGTAAAAATTATTGTCTGCTTGTCTGGTGGTTCCATAGTATATTTTCTGCTTGTCTGCTTGTCTGGTGGTTCCATAGTGTAGCGGTTAGCACGCCTGCCTCGGACGCACAGAGTCCCGCGGGACTCCCAGAGAAACCACACGCTTGATAATGTTAAGCTTCCTCTGTAAGTCGCTTTGGATAAAACTGTCTGGTAAAATGTAAATGTTTTTATAGCCACTGAGTGTAATGCAAGAAGAAAAAGTCACTTTTCAGATGTCCATTTTTCACCTGAATGAATATAGTTCGTATCATCCTAATGTGCTTTAATCAGGTGTGTTTTATTGGTGCTTAACGATCGTGAGGGAGCAGGAAGCGATTCAGCGTTGGACCAACAATCACCTGGTCTGAAGTTAGTGGTGCAGTACTCCATTGTTAGTTCAGGATAGTTACATTGGTGAGGCAGACGCACAGTGCTTACACACTCTGCCTTAACCAACACTAGCTTCACCTCAGGGACTCTTGTGGTCCTGGACGATTTATGGCTGAAGTCTGATTGGATGATTTTCAAACTCCGATGTGGCATTTTGTTGTTGTATTTGTTGACAGAAACACCAAGTTTCAAAGAAGACCACGTTAAATGGGTCGGCGGGTGAATGCATGTTATTTATAAGACAAATTTTCAAAAACACATTGTTGCTTTTTTGCCTATTCATAAACTGTATGGTTCAGAAATGTGTAAATAGCAGCATGAAGTTATGTGTAACAATGGTTCAGAATCAATTATGTATGGATTTCTTTAACTTTTGACCGTTATATGTATATATGTACATGAACTGTATTTACATGGTTATATAATATATATATATATACATATATATATATCCCCATATATATAGTATTATACATCACCACTGAGTTTACAGGAATGTTCACCAGCACTTTTCTATTCTAGAAAGTTTACTCTGGCTAGATAAAAGGCTTCTGAGCCACAGTATTTAGTGAGCTTTGTTCTGAATTTCGAGTTTGAGTTGAAAAGCCCTGAAGCACAAGTTAATTCCAACCAGAAATGACTACAGGCTTTCATTGACATTAACTAGCTTTTAGCGTTAGCTGCAGCTGCATTTAGCACCAGGACATTGCTGAATAGTGGGACCGCATTAGCATGGTAAAGTGGCAAATTCACATTGAATTATTAAATTGTTTACTTTTATTGTCAAAGCTGTCTTATTCTGAAATATAAAAGTACTTTTACGTATGGGTGTGACACACAATTAGCAGCTAGCTATCTTAGCCCAGGTTTAAGAGAAAATATAGTCAGTTTACATTAGAGATGCAGTATTAATGTTGTCTATGTTGTCTATGTCTAATGTTGTTACATTAGAGATGCTGTAAATGTTGTCTACCTTCAATATCAATACATTTGGTAAGTGATCAGTTTCAAACCATTGTAAGAAATATCATCTTTTGTGTCGTTGCATTTAGTGCCACATGGAAATTAGCATCAGCTATTGTGAAAAATTAGTCATTATTTCAAGTAATACAAAAGTGATTTCCCATCATTTTATTTTCTCTAATGAAAGGATATGAATCCAGTGCTTGTCCTGATTGTTATGGTTACACATCTTTTCTATTAAAAATTGTTTTGTTTTTTCATGCTTTTAGCTGTCATGTGTGATTTAAGGTCACATTTGTTGCCATATAATCTCATCTCCTGATTACCAAGTGTGCAACGAAGCATGAGAGACACTGTAAAACATGTACGTCAACATTAAAGTAAAAATCTTTGCTTCATTACAGGACATAGTATTGATTGTACCCTAGGAATGTCTGTGTCAAGGTCTGCTGCACCTCAAGAGATAAACAATGTATCTGTGCTTGTAACGGAGGTGTAGCTGGACAATGTATGTGTATACTGTACGTATATTAAAGTTCGTGATATGCTGAAATCTACATATGGATGTCAATTTATCTGCAGTGTGAAACCTAAGCAAGTAGTTCACGCCACAGCCTTTCGTGAGGGAAAAAAGATTCACAAATTTAAGATCCACGGAAGCACTCCTTGGCTTTTATTTTACGATAAAGGTTGAACCAGAGCTGTAAATCCGCCAGATGGGTAAAATCTCAGCAGCAGGGTCGGTCAAACCTCATGGTAGGGCTCCAGCTAGGAAACTCTAAATTACGACGTGAACGACACCTAATTTCTGCCGCCTGAGACAGAATTGACCTTGAAGAAAGACAGCAGGTTGTTAGCATCCTGAGACTTCACTGGTTAGCTTTAGGCTAAGACATGTTGTGAGACATGTATTAGGGTTTGAAGTTAGTGGTCTCTTTAGGTGAATGAATCCTGGAAATTCTAAAGATGAGTGCTTTTAACACACAGATATACAGAGATTACAGATGATTGTTAGTCGAAGGATATCTAATAAATGCATTGAAATTAGCAAAGAAAGTTATACAGGCCAGAAATAGTCCAGAGTAAACAAGCTAACAAAGTTAGCCAAAGGTATAAAATAAAATACACAGATGACTATAGCAAAATTCTTCTTCTTTTATTGTAGAAAAATAGTTCTTATGTCAAAAAGATATTACCCATGATAAAAATAAATAAAATACAACTAAAATACAAAGGATTTTTCAAAAATAATTTTTAAAGGAGCCACAAAGAGAGTTAAATGTTAGCCAAGAAAATGACTTTCAGTGAACCAAAAGAAACAAAAATGGCAAAATAACATTTTTAAAAATTGTTGTAACTAAATGCAGATTTTTAATTTCAACATCAAGCCCTAACTAAACAAATACAGATTTTTAATTTCAACATCAAGCCCTAGCATGTGGTGTCTAGGACAACCAAAAGTGATTCTTCTTCGTCTATAATAGTTAGCTGAAAGCATATTGGATCAAAAAAATAATTAAACTCTTCACCTGGAACAACAAATCTACTTTTGTTTTTTGCTTTTAAATTAAAACTTTCTATCAAAAACATCCACACTTGAACAGGCAGCCGTTGTGCGTTAGCCCATAAACAATCAGTGTCGTTTTCATGACCTGTCATGTTATTGATTAACCTACATCATGCTCTAATGAAGCTTCCTGACTGACAACACTGGTCCTGTTTAACCTAATTAGCTTTATATTCACATTTCAACACATAGCCTCTGACATTTGTATTCAGCTGTGGGCCACATATTTTGGTGATAAGGTACGCTAGACCACTTTTGTTCGTCTATTGCGATTGTGTATGTTTTCATCTTGACCTGAAGAGTTGGTTTTGTACACAATTTAACCAGATTAATGTTGTTTTTGAAGGCACTACAATGTAAAAGGGTCATATTCAGCTAGGCCACCAAATACTGGACATATAAGTAATTCCTTGCTCTATGTAGTCAGTTTGTGGTCACCATGATCACAGTTTTTTAAACTATTTTTTTTTATTAATATTGGTTTTGGAGGCACTACAATGTAAGAGGGTCATATTCAGCTATTTGTTTTGTTTTTTAATGTGGAGGACAATTTTAACTAGGGATATCCGATAATATCGCTGACCGATGCAAATGATGTGTGCCCTAAAAATAGTTTTGGGGATAAATGGCTGTATATTGTAGCGAAAGTCACTAGATGGCAGCATTGCAGCTCATTCAATTATTACAGTGATTTGCATAGATAAATAAATAAATATTACCGGCCTATGTCGGTATCGGTTGATATCGGAATCGGAAATTAAGTTTTTGGACAATATCGGCATATCAGACATAGGCAAAAAGTTGATATCGGACATCCCAAATTGTAACCTAAATGAAATACAACAACATTTTTCTTCAGATAATCTTTAATGGGTCATTACACTGCACTTCACTCCTGCATATTTGGCCCCTGAATGATAAAACAACATGCTTTACAAACAACAGCTTTGGGGCCTGGATTCTGTTTCCGTAGTATGGGTGTGTCCTCAAAGTCTTTCCAAACCTCTGGAATCATAACAGCAGCACTGATCCTATTTGTCTTCTGTTGGTTTTGCTGATTCAGAAATACACCCTGAGCCTTTTCACATGCTGGACTAAAGTTTAAAGTCATGGAAATTCCTTTTTGGAAAACACTGGATTTTTTTTTAAATTTTAGCCTATTTGTCTGGATGATAACATCTAAGATATGAGAGCAGGGTGTAGGACTCCAGGTTTTATCTCTACTCTCCGCCTCTTTAGGTCTGTCCTACATCTGGGCTGTTGCTGCTTTTACAGTTTGCCCTCACAGCCCCCTGCGCTCCGCTCCATATTTTTTTTATTCTTTCGTTTTTTGTGTCCAGGCGGTGCGTAAACGCGCTCTGAAATGGAAACGTAGCCATTTTTACGCACGACACGGTCTCGGGAAAAAATGGACCTCAAATCCGAACTCCTCAAGTCCATTTGGTACGCGTTCACGTCGCTGGATGCGGAGAAGTGTGGGAAGGTGTCCAAGTCTCAGCTGAAGGTATGAAATGAAGTTCCGAGTTCAGAAAACTAAGATAAGAAAAAACTTTAGAACAGGTCGGACTTGGACGTGTAACTGTGCGTTTGTGCTGCGTTAACGCCTCTAAATCGTTCATTTCCTGCGCAAAACAATAGAAAACAAATTTATTTGTGCAGCTGCCTCGTGCGTTATACACTGCGCCAAACGGATCAATATAATGAGACTTCGAAATAATGAAATACGAAGGCACACGGCTACTTGTAAACATGCTCTTCAAACAGACCTGTAACCTGCACAGTTTGAAGCAAAGTCCAGTTTTTCTCTATAATCCGTGGCCCAGTTTGTACTTTAACCAGTAAACCACTTCACTGTAGCTTTTTTGGTATATTTATGAAGAAGTGCACAGTCTTCATTGCCGTCTTCCTCCTTCCTCAGTTATTTCTCCTGCTCTCTCTGTCCAGTTCCTACATGTTTCACTGCGGTAAGAATCCAGGGTAAAACGGCAGAAAGCTGCCCTGACTTGCTCACTCACAGGGGGACTAGATGCCTGGGCTTGTGTTTGTGTGTTAGTGGTTTTTACCCCAACAGAGAAACCTACTGTGGAGTGAGATTTCATGTTGAGGTAAAACATTTACATAAAGGTTGACACACTTTTGTCTGTCGGTGTCTTCCTCAGGTGCTCTCTCACAACCTGTACACAGTGCTGAACATCCCACACGATCCCGTGGCTCTAGAAGAGCATTTTCAGGACGATGACGACGGCCCGGTGTCTAACCACGGCTACATGCCCTACCTCAACAAATATATACTGGACAAGGTACTGTGAGAGTTCAGAATAACCCCTAGTGTCAATGACTGTACAAGGAAAACGGACATAACGTTAACATTCAGTTGCAAAGAAATTCCATGGAAGTGGACTGGAAGTAGCGTCACTGTTTTGGTTTTAACGTCGTAAAAACAGAGGTTCTTGAAAACTGGAAACATGATGGCAGTTTGTGACTTGGGATCCTATTTAGAGGGAAATAGTCACCAAAGCATGACAGAACAGCTACTAGGTTGCGATAATTGTCAGTTTTAAAAAATCATTTTAGCTTTTCTTAAGATCTGCAAATTTTGAAGCTTTAAAACAGGACCTCATTGTGAAACTTGACAGCTATGTTTTGTTTGTTTGTTTTTTCTAAGTTTTTTCTACTTAAGAAATATCACGACTGCAGACTCTGGTCCTCCAAATGTCACTCCTTATTCTTAAAATCGACTGAGAATGTTTAGTTTTATTAACGGAATGACAATGTCCGCTTCTTATTTACACTCTTTTGAAAGAAAGTGCAACTCGAAGACAAGTGCACAATATCTACAACAAAATAATTCATCTCTGCCTCTCGTGGTTTCTGCCAATTATTAAACAATGAACTTCAAAAGTGCTTCAAACTCAAGGTCGTAAAATCAAATCAAAGTTCAGGACAACAGCTCTGTTTATCCCTAACATATTAACCATCCAAACCGATTTCAGATGACCTAATCTCTAAACTACCGAAACCTGAGGCACAAACCGCTTCTTTTTTTAACACAGTGCTTACTTGATCTGTGACGTAGCTCGGATTTCTCTGTGTCTGCAGGCACTTACTTGATCGGTGACGTTGTAGCTCGGATTTCTCTGTGTCTGCAGGTGAAAGAGGGGATGTTTGATAAGGAGAAGTTTGACGACCTGTGCTGGATGATGACCATGAAGAAGAACTACCGGGTTGTTCCCAAGGGGGCGCTGCTGTCAGAGAGAGACAGTTTCAAACTCTTCTGTTTATTCAACCTCCTGTCTGAGGACAAATACCCGCTGATGATGATACTGGAGGAGGTGAGACACGAAAAATGAAAAGATACATGATTTGATTCCTTGAACTGAAGTGTCAAAATGTCTTTGTGGCATTTAGTCTAAAAAAAGAGCAAAAAAAAAAAAAAACAGTTGGAAACGAAGGGACAGTAATTTATATTTTGAGTGGCTTTCAAACTGCTACAAATCCCTGAAGAAAATCTGAGCTCAGAGTGAGAATATGTCAGTTAAAGAGTCTGTTCCTTCCTGAACTTCCGCTATAATTCTTTTGGTTTCCTGTCGACAGGGACCAAAATAGACAACTTCAGTCTGAACATTCGCCTTTCACTTTGATTTCGTATCGCAAAAATGTATTCTATCTCAGCAGGGGCCTTCTGTGTGTGTGTGTGTGTTTGTGTGTGTGTGTGTATGGTGGGGGTTTGGGTGGAATATCTCCTCAAGAAAATCTCCACGGCTATGAACGAAGAATGGGATGGGAAGCTCTTGGATGACCTAATATCCCAGGATGCCACAGTGCAGGAAGAGGGCATGTCCGTGTGGACATTCCTGGAGCTCATGAACGCTGGTCGGCTGCTTAAGGTCACCAGCGCTGAGGCTTTCAGTGTCGCTCTGGACGAGGTGTTTCTGGAGATGTACCACAACGTGCTGAAGAGGGTGAGTGTGTGTGGGAGGATGAAGGGTGGGGGTAAAAAGCCCATGAAATTTATGAAATTACCCATGAAATTGCAGGATGGTGGCTTTTAATGAACCGGTATAATATTATAAAAGCACAGACCGTTAATAAAAAGTGGACACAGCCATCTGGTTGCAAAACTTTACACAGCCTTGTTTTAATTCTGGTAATTTAACAGCTGTCTGTTCTGAGCTGCCAATCACACACACACACACACACACACACAATGGTAATACATGTGTGCCATCACCAGGAATACAGTATATTTAGGGTGAACATTACTTTGGTTCACCTTGACTGTGCAACATGGTTCATTATGTCTCCTTTTGAATTAACACCGTGGCTCAGAAAAGACAAGACATCATTTTTGTTTGTTCTTAACATATTTGGTTTGATGGGCCTGCTTTAAATATAATAAAAAATAACACTAACACTGTGGCTTTTACAACATGCTAGCTCCAAGCTAGCTTCCATTGGAAGTGAAACACATAGAGTAAAAGTGGATGTAAAGGACATCAGTGTCCTCCCTCAGTCTGGTCTGGTCCTGACTGTATCCACTCTCCTCAGGGTTACATGTGGAAAAAAGGCCACGTGCGCCGGAACTGGACCGAGCGCTGGTTCGTGCTGAAGCCCCACTCCGTGTCTTACTACGTCAGTGAAGACATGAAAGACAAGAGGGGAGAGATCCTGCTGGAAACAGGCTGCGTCATAGAGGTTAGTGTTTGATCTCCGATCAAGAATTTGAACTTCACGTTCACAGCGGGTCCAACTGTGCTCCTCCTCTGCTCCTCCTCTGCTGCAGACTCTTCCAGACCGGGAGGGAAAACGCTGCCTGTTCTGTGTGAAAACACAAAACAAAACCTTCGAGATGAGCGCGTCTGACCTGAGACAGAAAGTGGAGTGGACTCAAGGTTTGTTCACTTTCCAAGAACACACATGTGCATGTCTACCCCAGTCCAGCCAATCAGGTGTGTTCCTGTCACTCCCGCAGCCATCCAGACGGCTTTCCGTCTCCAGAACGAGGGCAAGTCCTCGCTCCACCATGAGCTCAAACTGAAAAGACGAGTCCAACGGGAGCACGGCCAACGGGAGCGCAGCAGGAGCTCGCACGGCAGCTCCAGCAGCCAACCGGACGAATCCAACGTCCCAGAGGCGGAGAAGACGGAGAAGAACAAAGACAGACAGGACATGGAGATTGAAAGCATCATCCAGGCAAGAGATGTTCCATGAGTGACGCCAACATTTATATATGGATATGTCTTAGCTTCAAGGAACATGTTTGCGTGTTCCACAGCATGCACGAGAGTTGGAAATCAAACGAAGAGAGGCGGAGGAGAAGGAAAGGAAGAAACAGAAGGAGGTGCAGATGGAGCTGGAGAGACAGCTGAAAGAGGCTGAGATGGTAAAAGGAAAAAGGTTACAATTATTCTTTGACCCCACGCGTCTCAGAAGAGTCTGGAAAATCTGGTTTTTGTTATTCTTAGTGGTTGAGGGGTGTTGGAGAGTTTTCTGGAACAGGTGTTTAAGGGGAAACCATAGTTTGTTTTTTTACTCTGGTGTGGCCAGAAATGTCTAAGTCTGTGTGTGTGTCCAGTTGAGAGACAGCATGCAGGCCGAGATGCAGGAGAAGAAAAAAGAGGCCGAGCAGCAGAAGAAGAGGATCCAGGAGTTGGAGCTGACGCAGCAGAAACTAGAAGCTGCTCTGAACATGGAGATCCAGACTCGGCTGGAGGAGGAGAAGGCCAGAACGGAGCTGCAGAGGTGAGCGGGTTTCTTTACTATATTTGTTAGATTGTTTTTATTTAGTCATGGTCTACAAGCTGTGTACTTTGTACTGTGTACTCCGGTTGCCAAGCAATGACATTTTGTTGCCAGACTCACTGTTTTTTTTGTTTGTTTCTGTGCAATGACAATGAAGTCTAAGTCTCAGTCTAGATTATTTTTACTTTTTTCCCTGTGTGATTTTGAATGCATAAGAACAGACAGACTTTAGTTTTTAAACTAACTGACAATTTACTGCTACTAATAAAACTGCAATATAATTGCAGTCTAAAGTAAGGAGTAGCAAAACGGATAAAGTTTTCTGTCCTGTATTTTTTTTAATATTAATAAATTTGTTGTTTTTTTAACAAAACGTTTGCCTCAGACTTTGGTGCAGTATTCCTGTTAGCTTTGATGAAACAGTTTTTTTTTATAATTCTCAGTTATAAGCAGCATCTTTTGTGTCTAAATCTCTAAGCTTATGTGTGGATGTTTATTTGCGACCAACACTGAAGACACTGGAAATACCACAAGTGTAAGTCACATTGGAAAAATGCATTTCGTCTAATGTCTGTGTGTTTGGATTTGACCTGATGGGTGTGCTGTTTGTAGTAGAACTCAGTTGGACATATTGGTGGATGTATCCATTAACCAACACTACCTCTACCTTCTTGTTTTTTTTTTCCAAATGACTGGCATGTGTCCGCCCCCCCGTCTCTGACTCACTCACCTTTAACCTTGAAACTTAACATAACAAGACATTCTTCAGTGAAGTGACTTCTGCACCATCATGTCGTCCATGATGTCTTTCATCCTGCAGGGTGCTGCAGGCTGAGGAGGAGAAGAAGAAGCAGTTCCAGCTCCTGCAGGAACAACAGAAGGCCCTGCAAAGCCTGAGTGTCATAGAGGAGGACCCTGCAGGAGGGGCAGACGAGGACACCCCCTCTGCCCTCGACTCTGCCTCCCAGGAGCTGCAGGATCTGCAAGAATCTCGGCAGAGAAGCCACCAGCGCCTGGAGGTGAGAATGAAGCAGATACAGTATGTGTTTAATAAAAACCCCTTATTAATGCTCCTTCTTTAATGTTTTGGTTCCAGGAGGTTCAGGAGAAGCTGAGGAACGCCAGTCAACATGTACGACACTGGAACGTCCAGCTGAACCGGCTTATGACGCCCATTACTCCAGGAGGTGAAGTATTCTCTTTGTCCGCAAACAGACTAATTTGATAAGTAAAATATGATGATGATTCAACTTGAAAGTCGTAGCATAAATAAAAAAATATGACATGTATCATTATTTGTCTTTTTTTTTCATAGATCGAATGCAAAATCGCCAAGTGGCAAAAGAGTTTTGCCCCAAAAAGGAAGGAGCTCTGGCCAGCAACGAGTTCATCACTAAATTCAAGAACTTAGCCAGTCAAAACAATGAGATGACGGAGGAACATCAGAAACTGGAACAGCAGCAGGAAACGGGTCACGTGTCTGATGGAGAGGAGGAATCCCAGTGAAAAAGCCAATGGACAAATGTGACAAAGGGAAACGAGAAAGAAGTATTTGTTTGGAGTATTTGGTGCAGTGAAAATATGCAAAAAGGACTTATGTGGTGTCTGAGCACAGCAGCCATTTGGATATCTTTAAATCATGCTTCAGTTGAGCTTCCACAGTTTTACACCTGTCAACCGTCACTTTATCAAACTCCTGTGTGTGTGTGTGTTTAAAACATGTCCAGGTGGCTGTTATGCAATACAAAATGTCTTTGTATTTATGGTCACACTTTAAAGCATTGAGATGCAGAATTAAGCGAGAGTACAATACAAATGTACAGTTTGTACAATAAAATGTATACAGTAAGTGAACAACAATTCTTTATCTTGTCGTGTTTTACTTTCTACCAGAACAAACCAGCTAAAAAAAAACAATGTGTAAAGTAAAAAAAAAAAGCAGTAACTTCACTTTGTTGAAGGTTTATTAATACAATATACTAAGGAGAACAGTTTAAATATATATTTGGAATTCTAGAAAAATAAACTGCAAAACACAATTATACAAAATATATTTTTTATATTTTCCAAAACTCAAATAAATGTATTTAATTAATTAGGTTACAAAGTAGTTTTTATTTAATTATAACCACAAAACCTACGCGGTACTACATGTTAATATAGTCGATTTAATTTGATTTTTTTTTTGTAATTTAAAGAACTTTAAACGAAAAACCGTACGTAATCGTGTCATTTTGCCACCTGCAGGTAGCGCTGATGCTACTTTGATCCAATGACCCGGAAGCAAAACAGGTCCCATCCGGGTCATTTTAAAACGCATGGTGGCGCCCTGTACGGAGTCATGCGAGTCGTGAAAGACTCTGTCAGACCCAGGAAACACTTTAGAGCAGACTAATCCGATGGTTTGAATAATTGTGTCCGATTATGTTTTAACTTTGGAACATATTATCGCCATGTTGGCATCAGCCTGCAGGAGGAATATCCGGTGGCCTCTGCTCTCTCTGACCAGGAGGCTGACCACAAGCCAGAGCGGCAGCCCGGACCAGACTCAGCCCCTGCCGGATGAAGCTTTCACGGAGCCCGCTGAGGTGGAGGGGCAGATCCAGAGACGCTGGAAAGACCCGGGGGACCGCTCCGTGTTCCTTTTCCCCGGCCAGGGCAGTCAGTCTGTGGGCATGGGGAGAGGACTGTTAAAATACCCCAACGTTAAAAATATGTTCTCGGTGGCCCAGAAGATCCTGGGCTACGACCTGCTGACTCTGTGCCTGGAGGGACCCGAGGAGGAGCTGATGAAGACGGTGCACTGTCAGCCCGCGGTGTTCGTCACCTCTCTGGCTGCGGTGGAGAGGCTCAGCTTCGAAAACCCCAAGGTCACTACAAACATGCAGTACATAAACAGTGGTCCCTCGTCTCTCGCGGGGGTTACGTTCCAAGACCGTCCGCGATAGGCGAAAAACCGCGAAGTAAAGACACGATAGTCATTATATTATTTACTTATATATTAACCCTTTAGGGCATCGTAGAGTGTGAATTATGGGAAAAAATACTTAACGAAACTTTCACAAATCTCGTACTTATACTATTGTGGTTCAGTTGTATGATATTACAAAATGAAATATGGCAAAAAATACTTAATGAAACTTTCACAAATCTTGTTTAGCCGTACGTGCAGGTTGTTTGATGAAATACCCTGTATGTATGTGTTACAAAATGTATTTTTATTTTTTACTTTTTACTAGTAATAATACGTTTTAATAATATTCAATAGCAACCCATAGAACAGGGAACTGAAACGGTGTTCATAGCACCCCCTACTGGGGAAAGAAAAAGGACATTATACCATGAATAACATACAAAAAATAACTTTTGTCTCTAAAATCGCCCTTAACTGATATGATGACTGGGATTAACTTCAGCCCCTGGCACCGAAAAAATATTAATCTTTAAACCAGAATTATTCATTACAAAAATAATATATTTCAAGGAATACGTTTGCAGGTAAATAATATACTATTACTTCTACCATTGTGGTTCAACTGTGCAATATTTATTTATTTTTTACAGGCTATTGAGACGTGTGTTGCTGCCGCTGGTTTCAGTGTTGGAGAATTTGCTGCTCTGGTCTTTTCTGGTGCCATGGACTTTGCAGAAGGTACAACCCACCAAAACACATTTGTCGTGTCAGTACAGGACACCGATGACATGTAGTGAAAATGAATGTGTGCCGATGTGGACGGCTGATGGTTTTCTGTGTCTCTTAGCCCTGTACGTGGTGAAGGTCCGTGCTGAGGCCATGCAGGAGGCGTCAGAGCTGGTCCCCAGCGGGATGCTGTCTGTCGTCGGTAAACGTCAGGCGAATTATAACTACGCCTGTTTACAAGCTAGAGAGCACTGCAAGAGTCTGGGCATCACGGAACCAGTGTGTTCTGTGGCCAGCTACCTGTTTCCTGACGGCAGGGTCATCGCAGGTCACAAAGAGGTACGCGTCATCGAAACGTCGCTAGCAATGCAACTTTGAACTGCAAGATTTGATCAATTTTTTTTATTACCCCCAGGCTCTGGAATTCATCCAGCAGAACTCCAGAAAGCTCTTCATGAGGACAAAACTACTTCCTGTCAGCGGAGCTTTTCACACTGAGCTGATGGCTCCGGCCGTTGAGCCCTTCAGAGATGTTCTGAAGAAGGTGGAGGTCAGTGCAGCAATCTTACTGTAGCCTCAGGTTTTTCGGAAACTCTGGCTTTGAATTAAAATCCCAAGGAAGATTCTGGAGCTAGGACTTGAGCTGAGAAACGCAAGACTTAACCTATAAGTTGTTTCAAGAGGGAATACAATGTTCTGACCATTAGAGTTCCAACTGATGTCATGACATTTCTGAATATACCATATTTTCTGGACTATAAGTCTCACCAGCCAATGAAGAAGAAAAAAAAAGTATACCGGTATAATTTGCATTTTCTGTGGAAATTTATTTTACAAAATCCGAGACCAAGAACAGAGTTCTTTCATCTTTAAAGGCACGTTATAATAATAATATACAGTAATTTAGGCTGAATATGTGTTTTTAATATATAATTTTAATATAAGTCGCAAACCCAGCCAAAGGATAAAAAAAGTGTGACTCATAGTCTGGAAAATACGGTAAATACTTTTACTGCCTTAATGTAGGAAGAAGTGGAATAAGATTTGACCTGTTTTGAGACTTGTAGACGATTTGGAGTCTAACACCTCTGCTTCTCTCGTGGTCAGGTGCGGCGTCCGGAGATCAGCGTGCACTCAAACATAGACGGCAAACGCTACATGAACACCAGCCACATGTGTCGACAGCTGGTGAAGCAGCTGGTGTCACCAGTCAAGTGGGAGCAGTCGCTGCACGAGATCTACGAGAGGGCGCAGGGGGAGAAGTTCCCCGAGACGTACGAGGTGGGGCCTGGAAAGCAGCTGGGTGTCACACTTCAGAAGTGCAACCTGAAGGCCTTCAGAAGGTACACACAAGTGCCGGTCTTTGGCTACGAGGACTGATCCTGTGGACTCAAACGAGCAGAGATGGACTTGGATCAGCTGGAGCTGCTGTCGATCTGTGGTTTTTGTTTGTTTTTTTTTGTTAAAGGGACAGGTTGTGTTTTGTTTCTTTTTTTTTTTTTTACGTGAAATACTTTGGGTGTACACAGCCGTACACACAGCTAAACCTCACTGAAAATGGCTGATACCAGCTCTATAATACAACACCATGTATGGACTTTTACCACAGGACGCGGAGGTAAGTGTTGCTCTGTTAACTGCTAACCTTACATGCAAAGGTTAATAGACGAGCAAGAGGTGTTTGTTTTAGCTTACAGAAGGCAGGAAATGTTCATCCACCGCTGCTGACATCAGAAGGTTCCAATGTTTAATTTCTTTTTAAATTTACTTCTGCAAGATACATTTTGCAAACACAGCTGCATGGAACGAGCAGATTCTGGATTCACTTGAGCCAAAAATGCTAATTTCATTCATGGGCTTTAGTGCTTTATTCCCATTAAATATCACTGTGTGTGTATATGCCTGTATATTTAAAATAATTAATAAATAATTTGATGCAACATTTTCATAATGTATCCTAGACTGTCCCTTTGAGATCTTTGTAATTAATTTGTAATTAAAACTGTTTTTAAATAAGACTTCAAATGACTTTTCAAATGTAATTGTTGATTTTATTTGTGTCACATCAAAAGCAGAAAGTCCAGCTCCCTTATTTTAAATAAAGCACAGCAAATATCATCTGTTAAAAAAAATTAATAACAATAAAAAAACTTTTGTAGCCTCTTAAACCAGTAAGAAACTTATCTGGATACAAAAGACTGCAGGACCAGCAACAGTCATGGCAACGTGCTTGTGAACATTCATGTCAGTGCTGCAGTACACCTGGCCAACTCTCTGGACAATCAGTTTTCACACAAGTCTGATGTCAACATCACATGGTTAGAATGGTAATTTTTTTTTGTTTAAAAAAAAAAAAGAAGAGAAAATTGCAGAAAAGAACAAATTAGCAATAATTTAAACTTGTCGCACACACTTTTAAAAAAATTTTTTGGGTTGTAAAAAGTGGGAAAATGCTGCAGGAGGTCTTTCAGTTATTCCACTCCATCCACAAGACACCGAAGAAAGTCACTGCAGCTACCAGCGCCCCGGCCCACCGGCTGCCTCTGGTCCAGTCAGTGAAAACTACTGGTTTCAAATTAGACACCTAGAAAATGAGAACGAAATAAAAAGGGCCTTAATGTTGTAGATACTATCATCATGATATATACACTGGCCAATACTAAATTTACAAATGAATAGCGATATCTTTAGGCGATACTAAAAAAAGGGATGTTAGCTTGATTGGCTAACACCTGGCTTTAGTGTAGTTACCCATTAGCTGCCCATTAACTACAAAAATGTCTGCCCTAACTAATTGTTTGTGGCCACATTAGAATTAATAAATAAATACCAGTCTTTGGGCAATAATAGAGTAGTAACAAAATCAATAATGTTAGCATGAAAATGTTAGCATGCATTTCAAGACAATAGGGACGCAAGCATGATTAGCTAATGTAGTTTACCTTGTTAAATTGGGTACCAGACAAATATCGTTATAAAAAGCTTTGTCTAATTCTGTGGAAATAAATTATTCCATAAGATTGGAAACAAAATATTTTAATATATATATGAAATATTTAAATTAGTAAAGCTAAATGCTTCAGGTTATGATTTCTAGAACCTGTTTAGCACTGTAATTATCAGGAGCAGTGTTTCTAGAAAATCAACCTCCGAGAATGAGGTGTTGTTCTTCTCCAGGCTGTTTTCTTTATAGCTCTGTGAGTTTTGACGTCAGGAGCCTGTGACTTCAAGCACAAGATAAACAATAACAGCAGTAAATGACACGTGAAAATAAGGTAAAGGAATTTACCAGATACATTTGGTCACAAAGGTTACAAATTCCTTGTTTAGAGCTGATGAAAACTGAGTGTCATCCATGCGGTTCAGACAACAGTACTCAGTAACTGCCGATGGTGCCTCATCATAATAGAGTTCATTGCTCTATTGACCCTTTTGAATAAGGGTATGTTTTTCCTTAGCCTCTTCACATGCTCAAAATATAACTGCAAGTGCTTCGCAACAATGGAAAAACTTTATTTATTAAGTGAATTGCCTTTCATAGTAGACTTTTTTTTATTCTCTCAGGTGATAAAGACTAAACATATAAGGAAATAGGTTCAACTCACCATGGCAGTACAGGCCTCTGCCTTAACGACACCAAGACCAGGCACAGTACTCACAATCCAGGCCCTTACTGCAGTAGAGAGACCCTGGAAGCCCCACAGCTGACCGTGGAGGTCTCTGTAATAAGAGAATGTTGCCAAGTTACGGCAAATACAGATTTAATGACAGACAAGGAAAGTTTTTTTTTTTTTTTTTTATTTTACCTATACAACGCTCTGGTGAGTGCCTGAGCGGGTCTCAGAAGGTGCAAAGGAGCAGGTGGCCAGTTACGTTGTCTACTGGTCCACTCCCGGTCCAGCTGGTCTCCAATCTCAGCCAGTTGGCGAGCGAAAACACGCACGGTCCTGGCACTGATTCTAAAACGATCAGGGGTTCCATCAAAATAATAATAATTTTAATCACACATTAAAAAAATATCCATTAGGCGTGTTGCCAGGCAAAAGTCGGTTTTTCATAGCGACTGATTTTGTTACTCAAGCTATGGTTCTTATAACAAGACCTGTAGGTACCTGAGATGAACCTCGGACACAGTTCCAGAGTCCACCTCACCAGGTCCAGCCTGGAGGGAGACCACATGACATGGCTGTCTTGTTTGTTCCACCATCTTTATTTTCTAGGAAGAGGGACATTTTTTACACAAAATTTATATTAATGCAGGTCAAAGTGTTTGTGCCTTCTTCTTGTCTGACTCCTAACGTTCATAAACAGGCTGTGTAAATACAGGGTCATGTTACCAGGATGGGTGACGCCTGCGTTGCCATGTTGATAAAACAGGCTCTCCAAGGTTTCAAAAGATGACATCACTTGTTGGAATAGGTCCAACAGTTATAATCCAACTAGTACTGTACTATACACTGCTGATATGCTATACACTTGCTATTAAATGCCACATAATGTACGGTGGATGTTAACTAAATTAAATTATATTTTTTGAGTTTTGAGAACTTTTGAGTTTTTGTTGTTTTCAAAAACCAGGCCTCAGCAGGTCGGCCGCGGCCTACGTGCACCTGCTCTGAGACCAGTTCCTGTTGTGACTGAATGCAAATGCTCCATTTCCATAACTCAAATCAACCACAGTGACCATTTCAATTCTCACCAAGATCAAATAAAACATCTTTTGGGTTGAAAAATCAAATAGATACCCTCTAATGTAGTTACCAGTATTTATAATAATATACTTTGGATTGTACACAATTCAAAACATTTAACCTGCAGACTACAAATGTGGAACTAACATCCAAAGTAAACGTCAAATGTCACTGTATATTAAATGTCAGAATGTAAATGTACTTGATACTAACCAAAAATCAGAATAACGTATTTACTCCTGTATATACTAGATACTATAGTATATTATTTACTGCAAATGTTATTTACAAATGTCCTTAGATCTACAACAAGTGTGTTTAACTTTTAAGAAAGTCAAACCTACCTTTTATTTTCTTGGACGCCGCCCTGTATTAGATGTAAAAGCGTGAGGATTATTCATATTTAGTACAGGAACCGATGGAATAAAAAAAAAAGTATTGTAAATGTTTTCCTTGTACTTACAGCAGCGTCCTTTATTCCTCGTGCTCTAAAGTAAACTGCTACAAGGTGGCGAACGTGACCACGCCTTTACCTGCCGCTGCCCATGATTGACAACAGGTGGCGACAGAAAACAAGGTGACATCACCTTTAAAACCAAAAATTATCTTTATTGCAATTATATAATTAATAATATTAATCATATATGTATAGTTCATATGTATATAATACAATAAGTACTTAACATACATATATATATATACAATTTATTCCTCTTAGTGGTCAGGCATCTTGCTTGTGTCTTTGCCGTCTGCTGACCGGTCCAGCATGGCGGCCCTTTTTCTTGCTCCCGAGCAGTCAACGCGGGGTCTGCTTTTTGTTATGTCTATGATATGTCACCTTAAGGCAATAATATATTCTTGTCCAACGCTGACCTCTGTCGAAATGGGGTGGTAATGACACCCTGCACTGACATCTCTGCGTCCACCGTTGCTAGGTTATTTTCCCAGAAAGACCAAGCCCATAGAGGTCTCGCTTATTGCATTTGCCATTTTTTAAACATCAGTCTCTGCTACCTAAATGTTAACTGCAGAATGTTTCTGTTCGTAGTCTAATACAGGACTTTAATTTGAAGAAAAGACGTTCTTTTTGTTAGCGCGTAGATTCACGACTCTCGGGGTTACTTTACTGCACATTAGCTTGTTAGCATTTAAAACATTTAAATTAAGATAAAAGCTAACGCGGTTGTGTGTGTGGTGATGTTGTTCCACCGGTGTGCATGTGGTTCAGAACTAGTTGTGAGATTTGTGCACCAGTGACAGGACTGTGGGTGATGTGGAGCCTGGAGGCCGGGGAGGACTGAGCAGCAGCAGCCTGCTAACAGAGGAGCAGAGCCCGGCTAACTGATGCTGATGACTGGCTCTTTTAACCACATTGGTTTTCAGGTAAGATTGAACATTTGAAAGTGAATGAAAATCTTAAATTATTCTCACTACATTTATAACATTGTATTTTCAAGCAGTGTAGAGACACTAAGACCGCTCCAAAAACTAAACATTTGTGACAGTAACATTAAATGTTCTGTTTCAAACCAATTAAAAGTCTGCATTTAAAACAAGTGATAATTAGTTTTGTGAAATTAGTTTTAGTTAGAATTAATAAAGACGTAAGAAGTCTTTAAATATGCTGGGATTTTTTGTGTGTTTTATAATAGCTTTTTTTAAATAGGATTATTATTTCAAAGTACAAAAGTATCATCTTTTCCACCCAAGTGTCTTACTTTTTGTCAAACATTTTTAAACTACTTTAAGGTTTTAGTATGTGTGAAATTGTCCTTGTTGTAAGGGCCCCACACCTTTGATATAACATCAGAAAGTAACATTTTTAGAGACAGTATCACATAATAAACATATAAGTGGACAAAATGCTCAAAAGTTAAAATGGAAAAAATACAAGTCAAAATGAAATGGAGATGAATTGAACCCAAAGTGATACAACAATGGCAATGACATTGTCTTTTTAAGGTAGTGACAACCAATAGTGGTAAAAAAAAAAATTAAAATACACATTTTATATAATTTGGTTAGTGGTAAAACACAAAAAAAGAATAATTGACCTCTTTAAAAAAATTAATAGATTATAAAAAAATATCCTAGTACGAAGTTATAGTGCTAAGTCATGTTTTATTACCTGTGATCCAACCTGTAAAGAAATTGGAATACAATAAGAAAACCTTATTAAAAAAAGCACTAACTCCATATTGGGCCTAATTTTTTTTAATTTCAGAAGTTTATTTTTAAGTTAATTTAATTTTTTTTAAGTTTAAATTTTATTTTAAAAATAATTTTTCCATTTCCCATTTCTTACATCTCCTTTGAAACAAAACCTTTTATGGTGTGCTCTATTCTAGTGGGAGGCACCATGGCCAGTAAGGTGAAGTGGGTGACGGACATTGAAAAATCAGTGCTAATCAACAACTTTGAGAAAAGGGAATGGACTCAGGTCACTGAGAACGAGGACTGGAATTTTTACTGGCAAGTTTTGTACACCTTCAACTGAAGTAGTTGACACGTTTTAACATGACAAATATTAATAATGATAATATTGTTTTATTGTGACAAACTACAAAGTTTCAGCCAAAATTTTCACATAATTGCGTTTTATTTTAATATTCATATTTTCAGGATGAGCATCCAAACCATCCGGAATGTGTTCAGCGTGGACACTGGCTACCGCCTCTCAGATGATCAGATGGTTAACCACTTCCCCAACCACTATGAGTTGACCAGGAAGGATCTGATGATCAAGAACATTAAACGCTACAGGAAGGACCTAGAGAAGGAAGGAAACCCGCTGGCAGAGAAAGACGAGAACGGAAAATACATATATTTAGGTATTTTGTAGGCCAACATGTTGTTTATATGTACAGAATCTCTCATGTCACACATAAATCAATATACAGTAATCATCATCATCATCGTCAAAACTAAGCTTCATAATCATCATCATCGTCAAAACTAAGCTTCTTCTGTTTCTCCGCAGATTTTGTCCCTGTGACGTTTATGCTCCCGGCCGATTATAACTTATTCGTAGAGGAATTTCGTAAGAACCCGTCCAGCACTTGGATCATGAAGCCCTGTGGGAAGGCTCAGGGCAAAGGCATCTTCCTCATCAACAAACTGTCCCAGATCAAGAAATGGTCCAGAGACAGTCGCACCTCCACGTAGGACATCACACACACTCGTGCTACTTTACTTAATTTAGGTTTAATTTTAACTCACTTGACGTCACATGGATATGAAAACATTTTTACTCCACTTTAACATTATGGTTATGAAAATGTAGAAAATCCGGTTGATCATTTTTGCTGTCTTTTTTTGCCCCCAGGTTTATGGCGGCCTCTAGTGGCAAAGAGGCGTACGTCATCTCCCTTTACATTGACAATCCTCTTTTGATAGGAGGTAAAAAGTTTGACCTGCGCCTCTACGTCTTAGTGACCACCTATCGGCCTTTGAAATGCTACATGTGAGTGCTTATTAAAGTGTGGCCTACATGATGCATTTTTAAAACCTCTATTGACCTTAACAATGGGCTGAGGCGTATACATGATTGAGCTTTATTTTTATGAAATACTGTAGTATTTTTTTCTTTTTAAATACTGCACTTTCACTTACTCGTACCTGATGTTTATGAAGTTGTTTACCGGGTTCTGTCTGGTGTTGTACTCTCAGGTACAAGCTTGGCTTCTGTCGGTTCTGCACAGTGAAGTACACGCCCAGCACAAGTGAACTGGATAACATGTTTGTACATCTCACTAATGTGGCCATCCAAAAACATGGCGTAAGTACTCTTTCGGTTCTGCAGTACTTTCACACAGCAGAGGGGTACTGATAGTATCAAGGAGTTGTAACCAAAAATAACACAGTACAGAGACCACCCTAGTTTTAAGACTTGCATCAGGGGTCACCACCTGGATTTGTCAAAGAGACAGAATTTTTCTGAACTCGACGCGTGGGGGGTCGTCAAATAATAGTCATATTTTAGTCTAACATTGTTATTTGATGTTTATTTTGGAATCCAGTCACAGGCCGGATTGGATGGTACAGCGGGTCAAATTTGGCCCGTGGGCCAAGCTTTGGTGATCACTGACGTACATACTTTGACTTGTGCTTCCAGTTTGCACCAGAACTACAGTCTTAATAAAAAATAAAAAAAATACATACCTTATAGCATTGTTTCCTAAAGACTGGGTACAAAATACATACCTTATATCATTGTTTCCTAAAGACTGGGTCGCGACCCTCAGGTGGGCCGCAAGAGATTTCTTTTTTGGGTCGTCTCGCATCATGTTTCTTTTGAATAATGTCTGTTGACTTGGGTCGTGAAGGTTTGTGACTTTTAAAATATGGGTCCCTGGAAAAAAAGTTTGGGAAACACTGCCTTATAAACAGTATGTGTCTTTACTGCAGGATGATTACAATCACGTACATGGAGGCAAGTGGACGGTCAGTAACCTCCGTCTGTACCTTGAGAGCACCAGAGGGAAGGAGGTGACCAACCGACTCTTTGACCAGATCCACTGGATTGTGGTGCAGTCGTTAAAAGCTGTGGCTGTAAGTGGCTGTGGCTGTCTATTCTTTATTTCTATTTTTAAATTAGGTCACACCTGCAAAAAAACTCAACTATCTTTATTTCCTGTTTGGATGTTGTAGGTGTTTTCCATCACGGTTTTATTATTAGACAATATTATTTCTAGCTTTCAGCTGTGACACAGCCATTGTCAGTGCCTTCATCACGTTCATCACATTCACAGCAGAATTACTGTATGTGCTGAAAAGGATTTTTCTTCAGAATAGTTCTTCAGAGCAGTTCTTGCTGAATCATTCTCTGACGTATAAATCACGAACACTTTTCGCTCTCGTCCAACGCTCTGGTCTCTCTCTGTTGTTTTCCTCAGCCTGTGATGAACAATGACAAGCACTGCTTTGAATGTTATGGCTACGACATCATTATCGACGACAAGCTGAAGCCCTGGCTCATTGAGGTGAGTCGTTGATGACATTCACATTCATCACATATGTGGAACTGGTTCGGTTGATCTAAATTAACTGCATCAACAGCCTCAGCTATTTGTGGGTAGAGAGTCATCTGCTCTTGACCCCACCCCACCCCCACTGAACTATATTTGAAAAACTCCTACACAACTGCTGTCCTTATTGAATGATGAAAATGTAAATGATCAATGCAGTTCGCCCGCCGTTTCTATTCTTTGCTGTATATTGTTGGCTACCTCTCCCCTCCTCTCTTTGTTTTCTGCTTTTTCATATAAATGTGTTTAACAGACTGTGTACTCTGAGGTAGAAACTGAGGTATTAAATAGATAGTTAAGTTCTGATGGACCAGATGGTGCAGTTCCACACCCAGTGAAATATTTCTTTGGACCATAAATGCTAACCACGGTGTGACTGATGCTACTACGGTCATCTTGTATTTCCCCTGTGTTGATCTTTTGGTACTCACTTTTCTTGGAAAAAGGAAGGTATTGCCTAAAGACATGTTAGTTGTTGCCTAAAGACCTGCTGTGTTGAGGGATGGTTTGCGGAGGTTGCTGTCTATGGTTTTGAGTATTTCCCTCTTGTGGTTATTGTTCTCCCTTCATTGAGAGACTCTTCTTGGCTTCTATGTGGACAACTGTATTCTTGTAACTGGTTGTTTTGAGATGGTTCATATGCGCCATATAGGTGCTTTGACAGAACAAACCACCTGGAAAACTGAGCTTTGTGTGTGGTGTGTGGTGAGAAGTGTGGTTTAACTAAAACGCTGAGTCAAGCTTGACAAAAAATAAATAAAAAATTCTTCGAGCCGGATTTGAACCAGCGACCTAAGGATTACTTGGTATGTCCACTACAGTCCTCCGCTCTACCAACTGAGCTATCGAAGGTGATGTGAGGCTGTTGATAACTCAACTGGCTATTCTGAAATGTTTTCATGACCCAGGCCTTATTTTTCATGTCATCTCTCAACCCAGGACTTTCAGAACCAAAGGGAAAAAAACACATCTATAAAAACACATTCCTTTGAGTTGGATTTAAAACAGCAACCTAAGGATTAGTAGGAATGTCCACTACAGTCCTCTGCTCTACCAACTGAGCTATATCATATCTAAACACAGCTGGACTTTTAGGTCATACACTGAGGTTGACAAAACCACCAGGCCGTCAGCTACAATATAAGGATGATACCAATGTGTGGACTGTTTATATTGTACCCTTCATAGTCTTTGGGACTATAGATGTCTCAAGTTATCACTAAATCGACCGCAGATCTACCCAGACTTTCAGAGACCAGGGGGTGAAAAAAGTGTCATTCCAGAGATCATACCTATAAAAACACATTCCTTCGAGCCGGATTTGAACCAGCGACCTAAGGATTACTGGGAATGTCCACTACAGTCCTCCGCTCTACCAACTGAGCTATCGAAGGGGATGTTGTGCAACAGTTGGTCCAACCAATCCTAACAAATGACTTACAGGAAGAAAAAAAAACCCGTACTACAGTTAAACAAACCAATCAAACTTCAAACATACAGTATCTTATTTGGACCTTTAGGTCATACACAGATGAAAAACCACCAGGATATCAACTACAGGATAAGGATGGTATTGCGGCATTGACTGTTTATACTGTACTCTTTGCGACTATAGATGTCTTCAAGTTATCGCTAAATCCACTCCAGTCACTACCAGAGCTACCAGGGGGAAAAAGTGTCATTGCAGAGAGATTATCTCTAAAAACATATTCCTTCGAGCCGGATTTGAACCAGCGACCTAAGGATTACTGGGTATGTCCACTACAGTCCTCCGCTCTACCAACTGAGCTATCGAAGGGGATGGTATGGCCCACTTGGGTCATGAACTGAAAAAATATATCAGCTGTCACTTTCCCATGGTGGATTTGGTTCATTTTTATACAGTGAGCTCTGAACAACAGGAGAACCTGCATTGTTTAAAAGGCGTACATTGATTCAAATTAAAACCAATCTACACCCAAATAATGTATTCTTCTGTCACCAGAATCTTCCAATCAACATCTTTCTGGTTGTTTTTGTTTTGTTCTTTGAAAACAGCTGTTGCGTATTTTCCTAAGCCCTTATTTACCTAACGGGCTTGCACAACGACTGTACTGCACTCTGCACTGTTGAGCAACTTTAAACGCCCTTGACGTTGAACTCTGTGCATGTGTGATTACAAGTGTGGCACCGTTCACTAAAGCGTGTGCTGAAGGTGGTCCCTAAACTGGTGCAATTTATTCATCTGGCTGTAAAAATGTTAATGAAAATAGAGAGAAGCTGGTTTCTGCTCCGTAAAGCCCACTTCAAGTAGGCCGCACTTTAGGTCGAACCCTTTTTACTTTGCAAGTCATGTAACTGACACCTTTTAGTTGTACTGCTGAGTTTCCAGGCTAGGTCCTTACTATATTTGTCGACAGACATCATTAGGATCTTTTTTTTTTCTCATCACCCAGTTCCTTGTAGGTCATCACTGTACATCAGTGACAGTAAAATCAAACGTCTGCCCCAAATGTTAGGTCCTGTGTGTTTCAGGCCTGCCTTCAGGGCAAGCTGAATCTCTCATATGTACTGTATGTGTATGGTAGTAGCACACAGGCAGGCACATACCCATTGAATATACTTCACTATTTGTCTCTATGCTCCGCAGGTCAATGCCTCTCCCTCACTGACCTCCAGCACGGCAAATGATCGGATATTGAAGTACAACCTCATTAATGACACCCTCAACATAGTAATGCCCAATGGCGACATCCCCGACTGCCGCTGGAATCGCAGTCCACCCTGGGAAGCACTGGGAAACTATCAAGTCCTGTGAGTGTCAATAAAGTGTTTACAGAAAGAAGGAGCTGATGTAAAGACAGCAGTCAGGGTGTGTGTATGGGCATAAATTACCAAACATTTGCATGTTTGTTAAGAACACATCCACTAGGGGGCAGACCTCCACTCCTCCTTTTCTGACTGCTGTCGGACGCCTAATTCTCACCCTGTTTCTTCCAAATGTTCTTTACGAGTTCTCTGTCCTTCTGTCACCAGGTATGATGAAGAGCAGGCACTGAGCGAGAGTTCCGAGCGTGACCTCAGGAGTCGCTCAGGTCAGTCTCTTGGCTCAAAGGGCAATAAAGGAAGTGCAGGCGTTCGGCCCACAGCTGCCACCTGGAAGTAACGGAGATATAAATAAACTCTTATATTATAGTTGGGTGGGGCAACAGGGCAGTCAGGATAAAAAAAGGACCAACCAAACTCTTTTTCAAATTATGGAAATCCACCCTGTCTCCATGTTTAATGGACTGAGACACATGGACAACAACTTGACTGTTAGTGGTAAAACAAACCAACAATGAAGTCGTACTGTAAATGTTAGACTTTACTGCTGTTTTTGTTCATTTATAAACAGAAATGTACAGAAATGAAGATCCTTTGGACAGATCTGAGGCTTGTGACAAGTCCAGGGTTCTCTACTCTACTGACCATGTTTATTTTTCTTCACAAAAAACAGCCTAAAACCACTTTGGATTTCAGAAGAAAAGGTCAGGTTTCTTTGTTTTTCCAGTTGGACAAGTTGAATCAAAATGAGAATTGAAATGAAAATTGTCAAATTAAAAAAACATGAAGTGTGCATGATTACTGGGAAGTAACATTCTAAGCCTGATTTTTACCCCAATAGTTGAGAGCGGGGAGTTCTAATGTGATGAAACTTATCGTTCACCGACATCAAGAAATGAAAGAATTCAACATGACAGTGTGTGATGCTAATGATGCTATTTATCACATTAGCAATTTATTTTTATCCATAAATCTTTACGTTTAATTCACGAGGTAATATTTTAAGGTTCACTTTCCCATTTAAAGGTAAATGGATTATAAAGCATGACAGCTCAATGTTACCTTATGTGTGACAGCTCCTCCGTCCAATAAGAGCCTGGTTCCAGGTAAAATGGAAACAAAGACATGGAAAATGTATGTCAGAGTTCAGAGCAAAGATTACAATAAATATACGTTACAGTTAAGTAAAAAAAATCTAATAGCTTGATAGACTACCATGTTTAATGAATGTGTTACTAATACCGTACTTTAAATAGGTATTATAATTTTTTAACCATGTTATTGCAAATAGACCGCTCTGTTTTTTATTATTGTTGCACTTTATCACTTTATTTACACAACGAATGTCCCATGATGCATTTTGAGTTCTAGGACTGACGAAGTAGACTTGCTGCTTATCAGGATTTTTTCTGAAGTTGAAATAGTGAACAATGGATAATGAATGAATGCCATTGTTATTTAAAAAAATATGTAAAAATATGTTGGTCGGTTCTGGAAAAAAACTTAAAAAAATTTTATATTGTCTTGCAAGGATATCAGAATTTTTACATTGCATCCATGCTTCATGTCTAAATGTTTTCAGAAAACCCACACTTTCCCTTTAAAATGGTGCTTTGATTTAACATATTAATGTTGGATTAACATGACATTATCAATGATTAAATGTTTTTGGGGGTTTTTTCGCTACGAAATATACATTTTGCCCTATTACATGCAGTATGGTTTCAGTATGACGTAAGAATTTATCTCATAGTATTACTGAAGTACTTTTCTTCTTAATTGACTTCTGCATACCTTTTAATGTTGATGCTACTGCAGTATCATTC